TGGTGGCGACGGGAGCGGTGGAACGGGTGGAGGACATCAGCGTTCGGATGACTATTATTTAACCGGATGCGTAATACAGGGTAAATTGGAAAGTCTTGTCAGCTTGGCCGAGTGGTTAAGGCGTTAGCCTGCTAAGTTAATGGGGCAACCCGCATGAGTTCGAATCTCACAGCTGACGATTTTTTCTTTGCATTTCACGGCGCCACAGGTTTGGATCGAAAATGGGGACCGCTTGGCCTGTTACGTCGGAGCTCACTGCATTCACCGGCACGCGATGCATGGTGAGGACGTGCGGGGAGCGCTCGAGGCATGTCCTGTGGTGGGCTCTCGATGCTGCCGTTGCTTGATGCACAAGCCTATCTCAACCGACGAGAAAGAGGATGGGATGCGAGGGAGTCGCGAGAGAAACACCATCCTGACAAGAGTGTGACGGTGGGGACGTGCATTATTAGTCACGGAATGCTCGATGTGTTCGTTCGAATCAGCCTACATGATGGAGCACTTGCCCTTGTCCTTGCGGATCGGTTGATACTTTTCGAGGTATTTGAGTTGGCGCAAGTTGATTGCGCCACGGCGGCTTTGGCGAATGTGCTCGACGGCGTTGATCACGTCAAGACCGTTTTCAATCAAGGCGATCGCCACCAAGACTGGGGCGCGGCCGAGCCCGGCGACACAATGCACGGCGATCGTCTTGTCGTTCGTATTGTTCCCGGCGTTTTGTTTCGCGTTGTCTTTGAAGGTGGTTTCAACCAAGTCGAGCCACTGGTTGATGATCTCACCGCTTGGGGGCTCCCCGTCGGGAAATTCCATTTCCTACAAACGTCATGTCAGCGTCACGGGGATTGACAAGGAAAAGAATCGCACATGGAGCTTGAACCCGGCAGTTTCCACCGTAGAGCGAGAGTATGTGGGCTCGCAGGCACGCACAATGTCGGTGACTTGGTACTTTTTGAATTCCTTGATGTACAGAGGGAGGTTGGTGTCGTTTGGGGCGTCCAAGATCAAAAACGACAGGTGCTCGTGCTGTACGTGCGACGGCTTGTTGGTGGGGGCAATCATCGTTGGTTTCTTCGCGTAGTCGTCTGGCTGCAGTAAAGTGTCAGAGGGCTATCCCATAAGCGGGGTTTGGGTCGAATTTCGGCGAGGGTCGAGGTTCAGATGCGCGGAATTCGAGAGGCCAAACCGAGTTTAGCGACGTCTGTCTTGCGGGAGATGGGTTTCTTCAGTCTTTATTGGGAGCGTGTACGCTCGCTTTGACGGATGTGCTGGTGAGAAGGACGACGGCGGGCGGACTTAGCGACGGATGGCGCTAACGCGGCGGCGTGTTCTCGAGCGAGTGAATTCTCTTGTGGGACCAGCCAGTGACATGTCGAGTTATATTTAACCAACGCCATTCAATTTGATCATTTTATTCGACGAAGTATCAAAAGATACAGGTTCTTCTCCTCATGTATACATTTCCCAAGTCAATCGCGAAAAGATTGCGCGGGGCGTTAGCGAATTTTTTACGTGGGGGATGAAGTTTTTGATTGTTTTGACATGATTAGACGCCGCCGTTGCACATCCCGTTAGCACACGCACGATGGGATTTCGACGAGCGGTGCGAAGGTTGAACATACACCCAGCCAAGTCGACGCCGCTGGTTGTGTCGGGAATGAGCCGCGCGTCGGCCCCATCCATCGAGGCAGCGACGGAGGCTATGCGAGCAGTCCCGCGCGTTGCAGCCGTTGGCAAAATGATCCCACCGCGGACCTGACACTTCACTCGATGGACGCGATACAAGTTCTCTCGCGGCGAGCAAGACAACGCACTGGTGTTGTTCATGTAGCTGTTTTTTTCATTGTCTGTACGGGTCATCGAAAGCGTCGAACAAGGAAAACTGGCCCCCACGGCGCGCCACCAGCAGACTGGTTGTTGAGGGCGCCAAAGAAGCGCAGGGCCTCGAGTGGAGCCGTACGTAGCGCTTGGGTGTGCCAGCCACCATGGACCAGGGACCTGTCACGCCATCCTCAGGCTAGAGTCGATTCCTCCCGCGGCATTCCATCGCCCAAGCCGTTGTGATCGCGCGATTTTGCGAGAGCTGCATTCCAAAATATAATATTTGAAAGGTTCGTGGATTTGTCGACGTGCGATCCGCTGTTGGGACAAGGCCGCGGCGGCATGTTTGGCACAGTCTTGACCTATGAAGGCAAACGCATTGCGCGATGCGTGGATGCGGTGCATGGAGACAGCGACCAGCAGCGCTTCGTCCTCGGTAGCTGTACGCCGAGTTCGAAGAAGCTGAATCAACTGCACCTCCTTGACGCAAACCTGTCTGTCCTGCGAACGTATTCCCATGCCAACCCAGTGCTACACCTCGCTATGTGCCCTCTGCCAAAGCAGACCCACCACGTGCTTACCACGTTTACAACAGGTGCCTTTCAATTTGTGAAGGTCCGGTCGTAATGGCGAATGCAGAGCGCAATGAACCGTCATTCGCGGTTTGGAAGTTGGACAGCTTCGAGTCGGTACCATCGCCGGGTGAGGCCGGATCTGGTGCATCTCTGAGCATGCTGACGAGCGTGACGACTGACTCGGCCATCGTTCGGTATGAACCAATGCTTTTCCTGTCCTCATCGACGACGCATGGTAGGGCAATTTGGAATCCCACCGACGACAGCAGTGGCGCCACCATCGCGTCTTTGAATGCTTCGTCCATCTCGACGTGGACACTAGCCGATGGCGGCGGAAAAGTGCGCAGTCGTTCATCTCTCGCACGGCCATGTCATGCTCGGATCGTTTAGGAAGTGGCCAAACTCGGCTTTGGTGGCGACAGACAGCACCCGACCGCAATTGCATGGGACCCCCACCACCGCCAGCAAGTGTCGGCGGCCATCGACGATTCCATCCAAACGTGGGATGTGCGCTCTGGAAAGTAAGTTGGATCGCCGCGCCGTGTTTGTCTCAGCGGTGCACGTTAGGGTAGCGTACAAGATCGACCACGCGCATTTTCAATGCGTGCGAGACATTGACTACAGCCCAAACAAACCGTATTACATTGCGAGTGGCGGCGACGATGGCCTTGTCAAATTCTGGGATGTTCGCAAGCCCAAGACGGCCCTGCTGTCCCTGCGCGGCCACAACCACTGGTGCGCGCTGTGTTGCTGGATGCCCATATTTCACGTTGGATAGGGTTTGGTGCGTCAAATACAACCGCTTCCACGACCAGCTTGTGCTGTCGTCGAGCTCGGATAGTTGCGTGAACCTGTGGCGCGTGAGCTCGATCTCGTCGGCGCCGTTGATAGAGATGGACGAGTCGACCGACGACCATGGCGGCGTCGACGATGCCAAGATCAAAACGTTCGACAGTCACGAAGACAGTGTGTACTCGGTCGCGTGGGGGTCCACCGACTCGTGGGTGTTCGTGTCGATCTCGTACGACGGCCGGGTCGTGTTGAACCAAGTGCCGTCCACGGAAAAGTACAGGATCTTGTTGTAGCCATCCAAGATCGATCGATGCCTCTGTTTAACGAAACGACATAATCGAACGAGTGCGGTGGTGTCGAGCGAGCATGGAGGTCGCATGACATCGTGGAAACTTGTGCTGGACCACCCCCACTCCAAGTGACGGAAGCGATAGTTGAATCGGGTGTTGTGGGGGAACGGATCGCTCAGTGACACGACTGTCGTAGCTGTCGCGTCTTGGTCACGTCGTCATGACATCGCCCAGACCTCACCCACTGCATCGGGAGGTAGTCGCGAGCATGTTTGCCGTTGACGTATCTGGCAGGACTGCAGATCCTTTCCTTACGAGCACGGAGTGAATCCGGCGACGTTGCCGGTGTTCCTGGCTCATGCAAAGAATGGCGGAATGATCCGGATACACTCGATGGGTCTGGTACAGGATTGGTCAATCCACTGTCGACGGGAACGAATATCCGGATAACAGTGCTGCACTCAAGAACTCGAGTCCCCAACGCATGATGAACGCCGACGACTTGCAGTGCACGGCGCAGGGATGCTGCAACACGGCCCAGTCGTACGGCCTTTGTGCATCTCACTTGTCGAGAGTCCAGACGCGCGATCTTTCTCAAACGTCGTTCATGGACGCTGGTCAAAACACGTCGCTTCGCACGAGTCCGACCACCCATCATCGGCCGCAGGGCCTAACGTCGTCGGCACACTACGACACCCCGACGTCAATTCAGAGCGGTTCTGAAAACTCTGACGACGGAGGGGGACAACATGACTCGGTGGTGCGTCGCGAGAGGAATCGCATTGCTGCGCGCAAGTCGCGGCAGCGCAAGTTGGACAAGATCCAGCATCTCGAGAACGAAAAAGGCCGGTTGGAAGGACACCGGAACCGCCTCATCAATGAGATTCGCATGCTTGAGAGCCGCATGGAAGGCAGTTTGGGCACGACCAAGAAGGTGCTGACCGACGACGAGTACGAGGCACTGCAGAACGAGCGCGTCCGCGTGATTGAAGACGTCCATGCCATGTACAACGCGCGCAACATCGAAGATTCCACAAAATACTTTCGAGAAGACTCGATCGTGTCTGGGCCCCAGAACTCGGTCCACTTACGCGGTAAGGACGCGATCGTGCTTGACTTTCTGTGCACGGACTCGTTGTTTGAGAACTTTCAGCTGAACCACACCAAGATCGACAGCGGCGGACCTCGGTCCCAACACTTCCGCGTGTACTGGCTCTTCACTGGCACGATCAAAGCAACGGGATCGTGCATGAACAAAGAGTTCCAGGACCTCTTTGGCAAAGTCCAGGGGAAAACACTCACGATCGACGGCGTTTCGAACTATTCGTTCAGCGGCGACAAGATCGTGTACATTCACCGAACGGCCGACCAAGCCAAGCTTCTCTCGACGCTTGTCAAGTTGTCTAAAGTTTAACATTTACTCAACACGCTCTCCCTTTTCGTTTTGCGTGGAAATGCCGTCCTTTAGACAATCCCATCACATTATGGTAACCTGGGCCAGTCGCCGACACTGGTAAAGCCGCCTTCGTTCGGCTAGAACGCGCCATCTCAAATCCTGCAGGTCTTTCCCAAATGAGTTAGATCGATGGCATTGAATGACGTCGAAGGGCGGAGGCGCCGCGGCCTACACGGAGTTTAAGCTGAGGTGGGTGTATCGGCAGCGGTTGAAATACATGGAATGGCCATGTACAAATCTCCAGAGCCGGGTGTACGTATTGCCAGCTCCAAAGTTGAATGGATAGGGCAGAACATGTTCAGGCACCAGCATTTCGTCGCGGTGCCCATGTGCATACTGTCGATCAACCCCCCTCATGTCTGCTGCCGCAGGAAGCAGATCGTGAGTGCCCAAGTTGAAGTCGGCTGCATGTGGCGGGCTGCCACGCGCACGCTCCGCGCGGATATGTTCAACACGCAATCGGCCGCGTCGTCGTCAAGACTCAGCGGACATGACCCGTACAGCTGCAAGCTATTGCCCCTATTCTTGCCACGGTTCACTGTCATGGCCCAGCGTGCGTGAGTTCATGTTGTGGAAGCAGCGACACCGTCACGCCAGCGACTCCGTCTCCTGGTTTGAAGACGATCCTTCACGAGGACGACGTCCCTCGGATATCCACGCACAGGACGTCCTCCACTGCATCCGCAGATATACCAAGCAATGCCACGGAGCCACGGACGAGGCTGCCGCCGCCGCATCATGGATACTGCCACCCAGCATTACGTCGGTTACACCCGGCCGAAACGTCCTGTGATTGGCTGTTTTGGCGGTAGTATCCGGATGATCCTCGTTATCCGGAGCACCCGTGTGAGATTTGTGTTTTTTGGACGGCCTCGTCGGAACACGAGTTTCATCCACATCGGAACAACGTGATGCCGCTTGTCCCAACCGGCCAAAGCCGCTTCCTGACGCCGCACAAGTGCTGCCAGGAGGAACTGTTTGCGTCGGATTACATCCGGTACGGTCGTCGGCCTCGATCGACGTGACACAGGACGGTCTCATCGATGTGATGTAGAACCAACAAGTCGGGGGGACTCAAGAGTTTGAGGTACGGCGTCGGCACATCTTCTTCCTGTGTGCGAGCGCGCGCCCGACGTATCCATGAACGATCCATGTCTACGAATAGATGCTTTCCGCATTGCTGCAAAGGACACAACAAGAAGACATTTTGCGGGACGGGAGTCGGCGTCGAGTGCGATATGCCCGACTGCACCGCCGTCTTGAGCTACTTTAGCTGCAACGGAGACCCTGGAAGCACGCCCGACAAAGACGAGTGCCCTGTTCAGTTCCAAGTCGGGCTCATGTACGACCTGATGGAGTTTGAATCCCACGTCAAGTCCAAGGACAACCTGTTTGGCTCGGTCTTTCCCGGTCAACGTGTCGGTTCAAGCCAGCAATTCATCATCAACGGGGATCGGCAATGCTGGCACTACGGGTGGTGTTCGTCGCGCGTGGGGCAGAAATACACCCATTGCCTCAAAGTGCGTCGGTCACATTCGACCGTGGTCATTCTCATCGTGCGTGTGCAGGTGTTCTTCTTCAAGCACTTGGCCGACAAGAAGCTCGAATGCATCGACTCGATCGAGTCGGACGCATTCCACATCACGTCCAGTCGCGTTTTGCGCAAAAAGTCACGACTGGCCAAGCGCTCGCTCGTTGAAGAGGACGCCGTACGCGCGCATGCCCGAGAAATTCACATGTCAAACGGGGTCCTGTAGATGGGAGGGTATTCCAGCGACAAGGCAGGGTCGTCTTCCGGGCACTCGGACACCAATCATTCCAAGCGCGCCAAGTCTACCAAGCGAGGTACGCGTATGAATGGGACCGCGATGCCGTGTCGAACGCGACGTTTTGATTGTGTTGGGTCCGTGCCCGCAGATTTGACTTGCCTGTTAAACCCGAACGAAGCGGCCAACGTCGTCGCCCGACCGAGTCCCGACGCGTCACGCGCGCCGATCGGCCTCCTCCCACAGCCTTCCCTGCTTCCTCTGGTGGATATCGCGACGCCGTCCGGTCGACCATCCGCGCCGCACCACCAAATGCAGCTGCACAACCGGTCGAACGACGTGTTTTTCATCATTCAAATTCTGAGCCGCATTGCCGACTTTGAGCGAGTGCCCCACACGTGCCAGTACTTTTCGCTCACGATGCACCACCTATTCAGCGTCCAGCCACTTCTTGCGAAGCCGCCGCCGTCGCCGCCGCGCATTCCACACGGCTCGGTGATGGAGTCGCTTCTCAGCGTCCTCGTCACGGGCGTGGAAACAGCATTGGAACGCGGGTTCCTCACCAAGTTGCGCGATCACATTCTGACGCATCCCCACGACGCGTTGCAAGCGTACAGCGACATGCTCGCGCTGTTTGAGCACGAGCTGCTTGCCCTCGGACGCCGGTTCCCCCAGCCGTGCGACGCCGTGTCCGCAATGGCGGCACAATTGCGCCACGCGTTTGCCAACGTGCTCGGGGACAAGCACAAAGGTCTTGTCCCCGAGCACGTGTATATCCCCGACACGCCGCCCACGAACGTTCTCGATTCGCTGTACATGGGCAAGGAATTCGCCGCGTCCGTGCTGTCGGCCGTCCATGTGCCGCAGTGGAGCCCGACATCACGCAACGTCCAAGGCGACTTTTCTCCCCTGAGCGGCAAGTGGACCCGCCTGTCGCTCCAATGCAGGACGCAGCCGCAGCACCATCCGTCCTGGTTGTACCGGTTGCTGACGGACGTGGCGTCGCGGACGTGGAGCATCGACGACCGTGGCGATGAAATGCTGGTACGGGTCGTCTCGATTCGCCACCGGACGCGGTATCCAGTTGTGTTTTGGTAGATCTTGTGGCCAGGAAGCGTCGGCACGTCGCACTTGATTCACAAATTGTGTGGCAAACATCGCTTGTTGGCGCAGTCGCCGTACGGCCTCAGCAGCTCGTGCACGCAGTTGATCGGGTACTTGGCGAAACGCAACTTTCAAGACAACACGATCACGTTGGAGTATTATTATTGGCCTGCCGATGCCGCGTCCAAGTTTCGGAAGCGGCTCACGCGGCACTTTCGCATGCACCCGGACGATGCCAATCTGCTTGAAATTCACGTCGTGCTCGAGGTAGCGTCACCAGAACGAGCGTCCGTCATACCGTCCGCTGTAGGTGTGCAAACCTCCTCCAGACAACCAACTGGCCAAGACCCCCATGGAGCGCCTCACGTTTCCTGCCGACTGGCATGTCGAGTCGAGCTCGATCGACACGTATGCGCGGGTTGTCGACCGCGTTTGAAAGTATTTTTAATATTTTGCTCCAACGAGGATTTCATGAAATATTGCGGTCTCATGTGTCGTTGTTTTGAATTGACTGTAACGTCGTTACTGTACTACGAAGTGTTCTGTCAAATCGATTCAAATTTGGAGGTCTCGTCGAATCGACTGTTTTGGCAAATCGAATTGAAAATCGTCTGTAAATTTTTAAAAATTTCTATTATTATATAGAACCAAAAATTTATAATCATTTTTTGTTTATAAATAAGGTAAAAACCAATCAAAACACATTATTACTATGTCGTTTTCCTTCACCTGCTGCGCTGTCTTTACCGGCGATGGAGCTCACACAAAGCACCCCACCGAGTCACCGATACAACACACGGTCTTCCTAGTCACAACCAGCTTCGGATAGAGCAACCTGCCACGCACGGATCTGGTCTGTGTCCCCCGACGAGCCAACTCTCAACGACTTTGACATGGTCATCACAAAAATCAATAGTATTCAGTTTTGTATGGTATACTTATTTTAGTATTTTTGGAGTCAAGTCGATTCAGCAAATCGACTCAGGAGTCCAAATTTCACTGAAAAAGACAAAATGTATACGGAATTTTCAATTTGCTAGGTGCCTTCCGGTTGGGAGAGGATTTATCCGGTTTCTCGGACCACACCGACATGGCACACTCAAAACAGCCATGGACGGGGTCCGGGCGCTGAAGAAAGCTCTCCGCAAGGACATCGACCAGAAACTACGGCAGCTCACTGCTGATGAGATTGCCGAAGCGAGCGCACAACTCACGGCGCATCTCATTCAACATCCAGCTTTTGTCATGGCAAAAACAGTGTGTGCATACTTGCCCATGCCGAACGAAGCGTCCACGTCCGGCATCATCGACGAGATTTTTGCCCAAGGCAAAAAGCTGTACGTTCCAAAAGTCACCGGTCCTCGGTCCGAAGATATGGTGATGCTGCATGTGGCTTCGCAACGTGACATCGACGCGTTTCCCAAGGTAACTCTCCGTTCTGTCGACGACACTGTCACCGTGCAGCGCTTATGACAGAGCAAATGGAACATTCCCGAGCCATGGTTCGAGCATCCCCACGGCGGTCTGCGTGATAGTGCACTGGATGAAGTAGATCTCGACTTGATCCTCGTCCCTGGCGTTGCCTTTGACGGGCAGTGCAACCGGTTGGGCCATGGCAAGGGATACTATGGTCCGTGGTTGCAAAATATGTGTTCGTCATGACTGTGTCTAGACTGCTTCTTCGATCGATATGCGTCCAAGACGAATGGGTTATTGCCACCCATGCTGGTACAGCACGGAGAACTCGTTGCACGTCATTCACTTGGTTTCATCAGGGCGTTGCGCTGGCCGAGCAGATCGTATCGCGAGTTCCAACTTGCGAACACGACAAAGCGTTGGACGCAGTTGTCACTCCACATGGCGTCGTCTCGACTCGGTCGTCCACGTCATGACGCCCGCGGTCTCTCTTCTGGCATCTCCTGTGCGTTTTCAAATAACCACCAATCTAGCCCGTGGCCGCTTTGCACAGCGGCACTCGAACGCTTGAGCCCGTTCTGATCTTCACGATGGAGGTGGATGAACCACGATGTGAGCATAGGATGCCAGCGATGTTTTCACCGCGATGTCTCGAGGGATTTTGTCGTGACTTGCCAAGACAAAGATATGTCCGATGTGGTGACTTGCGTGTTGGCGAATTTGCGGGCGAATCTCCAACGACGACGATGGCGAGCGAGCTGCAACAAGCACGCCATGGGCTTGGCATTCTGGTGCTCATCACGGTCTACCGACGCGATGAAATGATCCACGAACATGCATGACACCGTTTTGAAGGGAGAGAAGCACACATGGAAAAACAGAATGGATCATGTCAATGCAAGTGGGCTCATGCCAACGAGACCAGTCGCTCCCCAGTCTACATGAGGACGCAGCACGAGTTGGTCTTCTTCGCTTGCTTGTAAAATACTTTGGACTGGCTGCTCAAGTCTTGCGACTTTTGCACGAGGTCGTCGAGCTTTTCGCCACGTTCGAGCACGCTGTCGATCGTCTTGGACAGCACGGCGGTGGTTTCGTCCAACTCCTTTTGAATTGCCGAGATCTTGTCGGCCTTGGACGGGTCTTGGTAGTCCTCCAACGCTTTCACCAGCGGCGCCCAATCCGGGTTGGCAGCGTTCGGACTCGTGCGCCACTCGCCGTTCGTTTCTTTGTGGAATTCTTCGAGGAACTTGTTCATCAAGGCAAACGCGACACGGGGAGGGTACTCTTGGTCGCACACAACGATGCCAGCCAAACCGTCTTGACGCACGTACACGTGGCAGTTGTACTCTGCGCAAACGGCGGTCGGCACAACACAGTCGGTTGAATTCGGTACCTTCGTGTTGAATGGATTGTCGCTGACCCTTGGGTGTTCGCTTGATGAATGTGCGGCTGAAAAAGTTGATCATATCGCGGACCCTGAGGAATAGACAACATGAGCGTCCATCTCGCTCGTTCCGTCGTACGTGGATCGTTTGAAGTAACTGAACGAGTTGAGGTCGAATGCGCTTGCAAGGATGGGAGGTTCAGCCTCACCTTGCTCCGCCCGAAGGAATTCTATCGACACATAGGAGATCAACCACGAAACCACGCCGCCGGGAGTACGCTACGCACGGATCGCGACGATCTTCATGGCGCTTCCGGCTTCTTGATGGAGAACGACGGCGGAAAATATTAAATTGACCCGGGTTTCCATATTGTAGCCAGTATAAACCCCCGTGGATTCAGCGCATTTGTATTACATACACGGCGGTCGAAATAAAATAAAAACGCCTCGCTCCAAGAATGTGTGTCGCGCGTTTGCGTCGCTCAACGGCCCACCCGCGCCGCCATCTTGCCGGCGCAAGCGACTCCGCCATTAGAATATCGACGTGGACATGCATGTGCTGGATGGACACCACGTCGTCCAAGATGTAGTGGCATCGCGTGGAATAGCAGTGTCTGGATGTCCGGGAACCCATTCGAGAGATACTCGACACAATTGTTTGTGCGAAATATGAGATACCGGCCGCCGACCCGAGGACCCATGAAGATCTTCGCTCCTTATTGTAGCAAGCTGGTGTAGCACACGCCAGGACGCGGCGGTGGCGAATACCTTGCGCTGCCTCGCCCGTCGCTTCGCACGGTGGAAACCCTCGAAGATCAGGCGATGGCTCTGTTGTGGTATGATTTTTCACGTATATTTCGATATTTGCCATTTTCGAAAAATCCAGTTTATGTACGGATAATTTCATCAAGATTATCCGGGATGGCGGCGCCAATCATTGCGCCACGATTGACGGACGCATTCAGAATGGTCGCGGCAGTCGCGACTGCTGTCGACAGGCACACGTTCGACGAATGCACTGGAAGATGTCGACTTCCAGCGAAATTCATGCAGGAGAACAAGTTGTTCAATGGATCTCCTGTGGCTGTGCACGTCAACGGCTCCACGTACCTTGGCAAAGCCCACGCGTGTCGACATCGCGATGCATTCGCTGCAGACACGTCCATTTCGATTGCTGCCACGCACCCACTGCTTGAAAAGCTGCCCAAGATACGTCTGGAGCATGTAAATGGCCACGGAAACGAAATATTCATTTCCATCATCCCCACAGCCTTCAAAGCAGCGGCGTCTGTGTCGCTCGAGCCCATCCCGACCAAGGACGCCGACAAAGCCGAAATCAACAAGCTGCTCGAAAATTCCATTTCCCTTCGAATCCTCCAAGATGCATGCCGTCGGCTAGTTCTCCACGAGTCATGCATCGTTCAACTCCGACATCCGCATGGCGCGACGACGTCGACAACCATCTCTTTTCGCGTGCACAGGACGCTCCCTGTCGGACTGGTGCGGATCGTTCGAGCGACGCGAGTGCTGCTGTTCCAAGCAACAGACGAAAACAGTGGTGATGCTCTGGCCACCGACGTGGTGCAGCCCACAGCGGTCCAACCGTCGTCCGTACCTGGCGCAGATGCTACCACAGCGAGCATTGGCGGTCTTCATGATGAGTTGAAGAAGCTGGAAGAGCTGATTTACATGGCAGTTGAGTACCCGAACCTTGAGCGCGACATGGGCATTCAACTGCCGAAAGGCGTGCTTCTCTCTGGTCCTCCAGGAGTTGGCAAGACATTGCTAGTTCGCACTGCGACGGCTCGATGCCAAGCCAGTGGTAACCCCGCCGTCGACCGTTTCCAGACATGACATGCACGTAGGAATCTGTCAGTTGATGCTCCGGGTGATCAATGGCGCCGAGATCTTATCGGGGGGCATTGGCGATGCCGAAGCGGCGCTGCGGACGCTCTTTGCCGATGGCCGCGAGTTCACAAAGCAGTCGCAAACCCATGTGTTTTGTTTGTTTCTGGACGAGCTGGATGCGCTGTGTCCTCGCCGGGATGCCAGCGGCCGCGCCCATAGCCGCATCGTGGCGCAGCTGCTGACCCTCATGGACGGTGTCGACGCGTCCCAGAGCCGAATGCTCGTGTTTGGTGCAACCAACCTGCCCAACGCGATCGATCCCGCGCTTCGACGACCAGGTGCTCGTCGGTACACAATTCTTGTGTTGAACAGGACGGTAGGTCGATTCGATCGAGAAGTCGCGCTGCGGGCCCCCGACGTCGGCGATCGAGTCGAGATTTTCAAAGTGCATTTAAAGCATGTGCCGCTGGAACGTCCTCTGACCGTGCATGCTGTCTCGACCGCCCTCGCGGACCAGTACGATTGACATTCGTGTGCACCGTCGACGATCAACTGTGTGGGGTAGGTGCGTGGGTTTTGTCGGCGCCGACATTGCGGCGCTGTGCCGCCAGGCGTGCATGATAGCGCTCGCTCGAATCGGCACCGCTGGCAAAACACACACGCCGCAGATTCTCAAGTTCCTGCGCAACCAGCAACTGTCGGCCATGTACTGGACCAACTACACGACGCACCAGCCCACGTTGGACCTGTGCCACGGTGTGAAAACGGGTGGATGGTATTCCATCGATGACAAAACTGTAGCTCTGGCCCAGCTCTCGGTGGCACCCAAGACGGTCGTCACGATGGCTGACTTCACCGACGCGATCGAGTTTGTTCAGGCGTCGTCGCTGCGCGGCGCCAACACGATTCGGTCGGCTCTGTCCATCGACACTCGATGGAGATCGCTCATGCCGTGATGCTGTAGCAAATCCAAGAGCACGACTTGGACCGACATCGGTGGCCTCGACGCCGTCAAGACGTCGTTGCAGCAAGCGGTGGAGTGGCCCCTGGCGTTTCCAGATTCGTTTTCACGACTGGGTTTGAAAGTACACTCCCATGCACACACTCGCGCGCGCGTTGATGCTGTTGGCACTAGCCACCGCGGGGAATTCTGCTGTATGGCCCGCCGGGTTGTAGCAAAAGCACGATCGTTCGAGCTTGTGCATGCGCATCCCATGCCACGTTCCTCAGTCTCAGCGCCGCCCACGTTTTTTCGCCGTTCGTTGGCGATGCCGAAGCCGCGATCCGTCAAGTACATGATGATGACCCAGTGGATGGTTCGTCTCACGTCGGCGCCAGATCTTTCGAGACGCGCGCGCGGCGACGCCAGCCATCATTTTCATGGACGAAATCGACGCGATTGTGACCAAGCGCGAGTTTGAACAAGGCGGGCGTGGAGGTGTCGTGCTGTGAAGATGATGATGGTTGCCCTCGATGAAATTCGCGGATAGGATCTGGCATGGAACTGCGAGTCCTGTCCACGTTGCTCAACGAAATGGACGGCGTCGAAGCCGCGGACGGTACCCGCACACAATATATATCTGGTTGCGTGTCGTCCATACGTGTGTGTGTGGCTAGGATTGCTCGTGATCGGGGCAACAAATCGACCCGACATGATCGATGCCGCGCTGCTGCGGCCTGGCCGATTCGATCGAGTGGTGTACGTCCCGCTGCCCGACGAATCCGATCGGCACAAGGTACAGTCTTGTTCTTGATGGAAGCGATGACGACCATCCCATGTTGGTAGATCTTGCAAATCCACACCAAACACGCGGCGCTCGCCAAGGACGTCGACCTCATGTGGCTTGCGCACGAGGCGGACATGTTTAGCGGCGCCGAATTGGAGGTATACCGTTGTCGGAGTCATGTGGTCCTTACCAACCCCACCCACCATTTGCATGGACAGAACGTGTGCCGGGAAGCAGCGCTGCTGGCGTTGCGGGACAACATCATGGCGACCGAGATCGAGATGACGCACTTTCAGCAGGCGCTGCGGTCCGCGTCGCCGGTCTCGACAAACGCATCGCTCCAAGTGTACAAAGCTTTTTCCAGCAGACAAGGACCCAACTAATCGATGTATGGGGCGACTCATGCCGCGTCGGTCGGCCATTCGAATGGGACGACGTTCGCAGCTTTCCAGTACGCGTCGCCGTAGTTGATGAGGATTTGAGCGTCCGCTGCAACATGTCGCTGGGTTTTCTAATCAATCGAAATCGGTCAATGCGGACGGCGGGTGGTGGGACGTCGTCGACGTACACAGAGCATGCGGAGGATGCCGGTGCACACGGCCGACGTAAACGCTGCGTTGGGATGTGTCGAGCTGTGGTTGATGCAGCGCATGGCGTTTCCATATTCAGCGGCGCTGATGCACATGTTGCCGTGTTCGTACGTGGACGGATATGCGAGACCGTAGTTGTCGAACGCGCCGCCGCGATCGACATGGACCACGCCCGTGTACTCGCCGAGCAGCGTGTTTGGTGGAATGTCTTGGGTGGCGAAGAGACCCATCTGAGCGCCAATACCAGGGATTTCAACTGGCCGCATTTCGATGTGCGGGTGCACAAGTCCGGCCTCGACCGCGGCGCGATCGGGGTCGTCCAAGACGGGAAACCCCGACGCAAACCCCCAGTACGAGTAATTTCGAAGGTCGCGCGAGCTCTCAAAGAGAAGGTGGCGGGTGTAGATGCACTTCATGACCGCGCTCGCTTCGTCGCACGTTATGGAGCGCCCGCAAAACGCGACCGTTCCTTCCGCATCGACCGGGTCGCCGTCGTCCAAGCAGTGCACCATCTCGTCGATGGCATGGAGCCCCGACCTCAATTCAAAGAGAGAGTCCAATGACATAGATTGCAACATGTAAGCAAATATATTCCTAATTAAAACATGACTACTTGGTTATAAAGAAAACGGTCGTACGTTTCGCGTCGTTTTCTTCCAACCTCGTGGAAACACTCGCCTACGGGCCATGGCAGCATGAGCCGATGCGTGGTCAACACAGCACATGCAAGGCGGAGGAGGTCGTAAACACGGATGAAGGTCGATGGACGCCGGGATTCCAAGGGCGGCTGCCCCTTTGCCCCGCGGCCCTGCGGTGGGAGCGAGGTCGAGTCGCGGCTGTGCCCGCCCTCAAAAATAGACGGAGCCGTTACGCCAGGCGGCGGTGGTTACACTTCATCTATTCTTACCCAGCGGCGGCGGCGGCGGCGGCTGTTTCATAAATCGAGTGCTTCCAATCTCGCGCGATGGCATCGACGTCCGTGCTGCAGCACTTTGAGACATATCAAAAGGCGCGGGTCAGCTTTGTGCAGGCGGTGGCCGAGGCCGCGACGCGGCCACAGAACATTGAAGTCATGCAAAACGCCGGCGTGATGCAGTTGCTTCGCCCACTCCTCTTGGACAACGTGCGCAAATTCGTCGTCTTTGCACACGACACGCCTCACAGGGCGCATGCGTAGGTGCCAAGTATTCAGCAGTCGGCGGCGCTGGCGCTCGGGCGACTCGCCAACTACAGCGACGACCTTGCAGAGGCCATCGTGGGGAATGAGATCCTGCCTCAACTTGTGTACTCGTTGTCGGAGCAGAATCGCTTTTACAAGAAAGCGGCGGCATTTGTCCTCCGCGCTGTCGCTAAGCACTCCCCCGAGCTCGCGCAGGCCGTGGTTGATTCTGGTGCGAACGAGTCTCCGATGGACCAACCTTCTGGAACCCACAATTATTCGAAACCAGGGGCGCTCGAGGCATTGGTGCCATGCCTAGAAGAGTTCGATCCTACCGTGAAGGAAGCTGCTGCATGGGCCATCGGGTACATCGCGCAGCACACGAGTGAGCTGGCCCAGAGCGTCGTCGACGCCGGTGCTGTCCCTCTTCTCGTGTTGTGCATTCAAGAGCCGGAGATCACTCTGAAACGTGTGGCGGCCTCAGCGCTCAGCGATATTGCAAAGCACTCGCCAGAGCTCGCGCAGGCCGTGCTTGATCCAGGGGCCGTCGCATACTTGGCGCCGCTCGTGCAGCACCCGGATGCGAAGCTCAAACGGTGCGACCCCACCCATGGCCTCCCTTTGTCTCGAACCCTTCAGTGTCTTGTAGCCAAGTGTGCAGCTGCCTCGCTCAAATCGCCAAGCACTCGGTGGACTTGGCTGAAGTCGTCGTGGAAGCCGAGATTTTCCCCAACATCCTGCACAACCTGAACGACATCGACCATACCGTTCGCAAGAACGCCGCGACATGCATCCGAGAGATTGCCAAGCACACGCCGGAGCTCGCCAAGTTGATCGTGAATGCCGGTGGGGCGTCAACGCTGGTGGACTACGTCGCGGAAGCCAGCGGCAACAACAAACTCCCCGGCATCATGGCAATCGGGTACATTTCGGCGTTCTCCGAGACTTTGGCGCTGGCAATCATCACGACAAAGGGGATCGCCCCAGTCAAGAATGCGCTCGTGTCCGAGCCAGAAGATCACATCAAGGCCGCGAGTGCATGGACGCTGGGCCAGATCGGGCGCCACACACCGGACCACGCCCGTGCGATCGCTGAAGCCGATGTCCTGCGCCATCTTCTCGCTTGCATGACCCACCCCAACAGCTCGGACGACTTGAAGACCAAAGCGAAGCGTGCGCTCAAGAGTATTCTGGCCAAGTGCACGCATCTCCAGGCACTGCAGCCGCTCCTCCGCGATGCTCCCATGAAGGTGCAAAAGTACATTTTGAAGCAGTTTGCCCAGATGCTGCCACACGATCTCGAAGCTCGTCGGTCGTTCGTGCAAAACGGAGGCCTCCAGTTCTTGCAAGAACTCAGTGAAGCGGCGGGCGGAAAGCTCACCGAGTACATCTTGGAGATCAACAACTGCTACCCCCCCGAGATCGTCGAGTATTATTCGCCCAACTACTCCAAGACACTGCTGGACAAGCTGGACGAATTCCAGCCCCAAGTGCGCTAACTGCACGGTCCCGCTCTTGGACAGATCGCACGCGATCCTCGTCAGCAAATATATTGCATGTCAAAATAAATGGCATTTCAAGAGGTGGCTCTTCCTCGCGGCACCTGGAACCACACGCGTCACTCTGTACTGCCAGAGGAATCATGTGCAGACTCGAGTTCGAGTACGAATGGGACGCCCATGCCCTTGGCGCTCGAATGCGTGAGCACTCTCGATTATGGACCGGATTGGAACGAGCACACACTGCACCGCGCCTTGAGCACATACGTATTCAGCAGAGTGGCGAGGCGTCCTACATGCCCCCCATCGCATATCAAGCGAAGGTGTGCCGCACGCGATGCGTCGGGGTGTGCCAAATGTCAACGCCATGCCCACCATGCGATACCCATGTCCGCGGTCGGGAACTTGGTGCCATGGGTATGTCGTGCGTGTGCTTGTGCATACTATTTCTCGAGGTTTAGTATTACTATTACAGTATCATAAATTACTAGTACCCGAACATTCGTATTTTCCTCTATTTTTTCCATGGTTTGCCAGCGGTATCCCGGATACGGTATCCGGACAACCTCTTCCTTGAGAGCCAACGAATCCATTGCATTTGGCTGCCATGTTGTCCCGAGTGGTGGCGGCGTCGCGCGTGTCGGTGGGTGCTGTGGCGTCCATGTGCGTCAGGGGGCTCGCAACAGCGGCCGCTCCTGCAAAGATCCAGCGTCCCAAGCACACCGGCCCGCCGACGGTGCAGTCCACGGCGGCTGAAATCAAATACCTCGGCACGGTGTATTCGATCGCAGCGTCGTCGAACCACTTGACCAAGGACAAGTTGGAGTTTGTCGTTCGTGAAGCCAAGTCGGAGAAGGACTTGCCGTTCGCGCGGGAGTCGTTGGACACGTACGAGCGCAACTTTTTGCTCATCCCGACCCACTGCACCGGCACGTTTGTGAGCAAGTGCATCCAGAACAACCAGGCCGACATGGCGCTGCAGTGGATGCAAGACAGCAAGTTTCTGCCCAAGCACATCGTGAACGGCACGTTCTCGCGGTTGATCGATCACTACAGCGACGTCGGTCAAGTGGACAAGGCCCTTGCCGTGTTTGACGTTGTGACGAAGCACAAGATCGAAGCCACGACCAAGGTGTACACGTCGATGATCAAGTAGTCGCGTCCTCGCTGCCGCCCATGCTGACCGTGTGTTGTTCTAGAATGGGCAAGAAGAACGGCAAGGCCGACTTGGCTCTCGAGTTTGCCACCAAAGCCAGGTACATCGCGTCGGACGTCGTCATGCACTCATTGGTCTCTCTGTCCACAGCCATGCCAAGATGATCAACTCGCATGCGCTGCTGCAGCTCGTGGGCGATCTTCCCGACTCGGACGTCCGCGACTTGGTACGCCCTCTCGTTGGCGAGAATTGGTGACGACGATCGATCGATGATGGAGTAGATGCCGGTGGTCAAGGATCTGGCTCACTTGGGCGAAGTGTTTGTAAACAAAGAGTTGGCGGCCCTGTTTGCACGATATGAAATGGAGGCGGAGCCGGTCGCTGCGTCGTCGGACGCCGCTGCCGACGAAGACGACGCCGACGACGACGCGGCCGACGAAACAACCGACAAGAAAGACTGACCACCGGTGGATTAGATAGAGCTATGGGACGGCAGACACTTTTGACAATCAATCGTTGCAGTCCCTCCCGTTTACATGCGCGCAATTAGTCGGCGGTGCCACCTACCGCGTTCCATGCGGTCCTAGCTACCGACCGCATCGACGGCAGGATGCCCTCGACGCAGTCCTCCACAGCAGCAGTCGCATGCCGTCGGATGGCGCGGGGGATCGTCCTGACCACGGCCATTCCTCCAACGGCTGCAACGACTCGGTCAATACCCACAACACGGCGGCGATCGATTCCATCCCTTGACGCGTCCATGCCGACGCCACGGCATGAGCGACGTCGGTCTCGAATCAGGATTCGATCTCGGGATGTACCGCCAAGGACAGCTCCTTGGGCGACGCCTCGCTCCAAACGCGTGCGTTTTTGAACGCATACCGCGCCAACCGACCATGCATTCACACGAATATGCAGCTAACGCTAGTCGTACATGGGATCCGACAGCAGCGGGTCCGAAAACCGAGTCGACCCTTCCGCCTCGGCCTTCTTTCGCGCGACGCGCCGCATCTCGAACGACGCAAACCCGACGATCGCAAGAAACGCCACGGCGCACACGACCGCCCCGACGGCCCCCGACGTCGACGATGGCGGGCGGTACGGCACCGCATCGTCTTTGGTGTGAAGCCGTGGCTCGTGGTACTCTGGCACGTCTTCGACCGCGTCGTCGACACGTTGACTCGCCTTGACAGCCATCGATTCCTTGAGCTCGGGGTACAGCACCCAGACGTAGTGGATGTCGGTGAGCGACAGCTTTTCCCGCTGCCCCATGCCGGTCATGACTGCCTGCCGTTGGTACGGATCTTCGATGCGGGGAAAGATCGTCATGCACCCGCCGTCCGCCATGGACGCGTTGACAAACGCGTCCGCGCGGTGGTGCATGATACTAAAGAAGTCGTACGGCACATCGACGGCCGCAACAACAACGTCGTCCGCCGAGTAAATGTGTTCCAGGTGTTCGACGGCAAAGTACGTTCGCTTGGCGGGCTCGACACACTCCCACGCGATTTGAATGTGCGCGTCGCGGTCGGGCCGAACGGTCGGGTGATGGAGTCCCATGGCGTGCAGCACCACATGGATCAAGTTGCCGTCGCTGCAGTCGTCCGAGATGCCGAGCATCTGACGCCCCCCAACGCGCCCGATCGACGACCAGCAGCTCGACGCGGTCGGGCTAAAGTCGACGACGTCGTCGCAGTCGGTCAAATGGTCGTCGCAATACTCTTCCTTGCACTCGACAAAGCGAAAGCCCGTGTTGACAGCGATATGCTGCATCGCGGTCCAAATGTCGTCGCGGCGGTGCTGGACTTGCTTGTCGACGGTAAAGCACATGGTCGCCTACGATAGAGCAGCTCGTCGATGAGCTACCACGGGCGAGACCACGGCGACGTACGTCCTTCCACCGCGACTCCTTCTCTTTGTTGTAATACCCGTGCAGCACGTAAAACAGGACGTCGCTGTCCGGGCCTTCGCCGAGGTACCCAAACGACGTGCCGACCGCAATGTCGCCTTGGGTTACCATAATGCCTTCTTCCACGACCACGTAGTCGAGCTCGTTGCCGTTGACGACAAGCCTGCCTGTGGTCGCGCCGGCCGCCGCCGCGTGCGGGGACGGCAAGACCGCTTCTGCCGGAAACCGGCACACGTTGTCGACCGGGCTCCGACCCATGCCCGCGGTGCACGGCGGGAACGATTCCGTCGTGCGATTGCAAGTCATGCCAACGTCGTTGGCGGCTGCAACGGTGTCAAAGCCGGCCTTGCACGAACAATCTTCGAGAACAACGACCGGCCAGTGGTTCATGACTGCGTTCGGCGGACAGCCATAGAACCCAACGACAGCAGAGTTTTTGCATCGGACGCTCCAGTCCATGTCGACAGGCACAGACGAGTCCAAGCGCGACATGAAATCCGCCGTCGCGATGGCGCTGACGTTGCCGTCGGTTTGGATCTCTCCGTGCGGGCAAAAGCAGTCCCAAGCCGGGTCGTGCACGGGCCACGTCTTGGCTAACGCGCCTGCGGGGCATCCGGTCTCGCCCAACATGGTGTCGTTTTCCACACACACGCCGTCCGCGTCATTGCGGTGGTACCCTTTGGCGCAGTGGCAGTCGAGAAAGCCGAGGGGAGGCAGCGCAGGATACGGATTGAAAGAGTGCGGCGGGCACACGTAGTAGTCGGGAGTCCAGTCGCACGATTGCATGCTCCAGTTGGGCTCAAAGCCAGGGAGGCACCGGCACTGGTGCATCGAATACGGATGCGGCGCCAGAGGCACCGAAAAATCAGGGCATTCAAACTCCACACGGGTTGCGTTTGTCGCGTTCGTGTCGCCGCGCAAAGACGGCGCCATGGCTTCGACGCACATCTCGAGCTTTTCCAAGCGATCGTACCCGTTGGCGCACTCACAGTCCATAAAGTTCTGCGGCGACCGGTCCACCGTCGGCAGCGGACGCGAATGGGGTGGACAGGCAAACGTCGGCGTCTCCGCAACGCAGAAAGGATCGCCCGAATACTTTTTCGACTTGACTTGAGGCCGAACGAAGCCCCAGTCGCACGTGCAATCGGCAATGGACTTGGCGTACCCTTGGACAGGTGGCGACGCATGCTCGGGACATTCAAATCGAATGTAGCATTCCCCGCTCTGGGCGTTCTTCGTGTACGGCTCCAAACAATCGCAGTCGACGAGCGAGTGCACTTGAGTGACGCCATGCTTCTTGACGTAGTTGGCAGCGCGAGGGCAGAACGTGAGCTGGCATTCCCCCGTCGATTCGTCCTTGATGTATGGATCCAGGCAGTCGCAATCGGCAAGCGACCGCGCCGATGTCAGTCCTGTCTTAAGCGTGTACTTGCCGCTGCATGTGATTTCCGTCACACACTGGCCAGCCTTGTCGTTGCGATGTAAGTTTTCAAAACACTCGCAGTCGTCGAACGACGTCGGATGCAGCGCTTTGGCCGACGCCCCCTTGGGACAACGGTACGAGCTGTCGCCTCCAACGGATTGACTCAGCAGTGACCTTGACGGCTGATTGTTCGTTGTTACACACGAGCAATCGTCGACATCGTCCATGTCACGTGGGAGAAACATGGCTTCGCATTGTCCGGGGCACACTATACACGCCATGAATGAGATGCTGCCTCGCGCATGCGACACACACACGCAGTCGTACCAAAGAAGCCACTGGCATGTGCATCACCAGCCACGAGGCCCACAGCCACGGCCGCGAGAAGCGTTCGACGCACCATCGAGACTGGCGGCGTCGCCATGCGATCGTCCAAACGAAAAGTGCCGAAAGATCCAATTTCGATCTTTCGTCTCGCCCAATCGCTGGCCTGCATTTCGTATCCGGATGAATCCGGATGGGACGAATGTTCGCGACGGTTCAAGATCCAACAAAAACCTTGGCAGGTCCGCAACCGGTGTGGCGATCAACTCTCTCTCTTGTGCATCAGCGCGCGCATGTTGTGGGTCGATGGCACATTCATTGCATGCAATCTAGCGAGAAGTCTGGGAGAATGCGTCCCTGTTGCTGCTGCACGGAGTTAGTTCCTCACCATAACGAACGAGGCGTTAGGAGATCGGTCGACGACGTCTTGGCGATGTGGGCAACCACGCACGAGTTGGAGTGTGGCACCTGCGTGTTGGTGGAGAGGACGGCGGGCGAGACCAACGATATTGAGTGCGATTACGTCGTTGTTGTTTGGCTATATTTAGCTTCGAGTTCGAGCTCCCACGGCAACGACTCGATTCCCAATGGCGACTCAAAATGCCCTGCCGCCGTTGCCGAGGAATCAGGACTGGGCTCGCAAGAAGAGCGCTGGCAGTACGCGGCAATTGCAACTGTCGGTGTCCTCGTCCATCCGCAGGCTCAGTGTTCCCCACAGCGCATCGTTTACCCGCAGCGGTCCTCCAACGTCGACACCGACAACAGATTTCCTCAGTGCGCAGCTCACGCGGCCGTCGAGTTCGTCGTCGCAGCCTCACGAGTTCGCCTTATCTTTGACATCGAGGGAGTCGGACATGCCACCGTCCAGCAGCGACACTATCGTTTCGAGAAACCCTCAATGCGACGCCACGGACGATGAAAATCAAATCGCAGACGTACTGAACGACGACGACGTTGCCATGACGGACCTGACGATCAACCCTCAAATGGACGGCGGGTTGACAGAGAGGTAGATGCTTTGGACATGGCTTGTGTGTGATGTCACTCGCTGTGCACTTGCAGGGACTCTGCGAGCTCTGTGCACGTCGAGCTGCAGCGAATGAACCAGCAGAATGTCAACTTAAAAATGGAAATATCTCGACTTCAGGAGGCCCTCATGCAGCGGTAATGCGTCGTCGATGGAGGTCGCTGTTCCCGGGAGTGTGACAGTAAAAAAAACACACGTAGGCTTCGCGGAAACTCCAAGTTTGTCGGGGGCGGTCAGTTCCGGTCGATGGCACACGCATCAGCGCCGGCAAGCCCCAAGGTCCCGCTGCCGTGCTCGAACTGCTTGAGTTGTCGCGCCGCATTGAAAAAAGCCAAGGGGGACCTCAAAGGCACAAAGCCCATCATGGAAGAGCTCCAAAGGAAGGTTCGGCCCGTGCGAACAGCTCGCGACCGATCTCTTTTCCTGTGGTTGTCCTGACGGTGGACGTGCCGGACGTGGTAGATTTCGGAAAGCTTGGTCGCGCGGAGGCACATGGCCGAGACCAACGCCCGCAAGCAAGAGCAAATTGCACAGCTCGAGGTAGAGCTGCAAGCGGCCAACGACATCGCGGCCCAGCAGACAGCGCTCGTAGCAACGCTTCGGCTCGACCTGGACCAAGCCCGCCAGCGCCCCAGCACCGCTACGGCTGCAACCGACCACGAGATCGTCGACGACATGGCGAAAAAGTATAAAATTCAACTCGAAATCTCGCATGAAAAACAGGCTCAAATCGACCGACTCCAAGACGACGTCGCTGCTGCCCACCGCAGTGTTCAAGAGAGCGAAGACAGCACCTTGGCAGTGCGCAACGAGCTGGCTCAAGCCCAAGCGTCGTTCGCGATGGCCCAGAGCGATTTGCAACAAGAACTGGACCGAGTCGCTGCGATGCGCGCCAAGCATCATGCCGACATGGCAGGCCTGCGGCACGCGCACGACCTGGCTGTGCATCAAGCCGCGCAGGATGCGGACAGATGGAAGGCGCAGGAAAAGAAATGGGAGGATCGCGCCAAGGCGCTCGAACTCGCGCGCGATGCCCTCGCGGAACGACTCGACCGAGCGGAAGCGGACCAAAAACTCAACTCGCAAACGGTGCAAGACATGCAGCGCGAGAGCCAACACCTCCAGCTCCTCCGTCGAAAGAGCTGCGGCGACTTGGCAGATCTCACGCAAAAGTACGACAAGTTGCTCCAACAGTTGGCTGCGCTACAAAAGGAGAAAGAGAGCTTGCAACAGGACCAACGCACCGCCGAAGCGACGCTGGAACGAATGGCCAGCGAACTCAAGCTCCACCACAATCAAGTCGACGCCCTCGAGCAAGCCGTTCTCGCTCTGAAGATGGACAAAACGTCGCTAGAAGACAAGCTGCGCCAACTGGAACGTACACATGCGGCAACGCTGCAAACGGCCGCCGACACACACGGCGAGCTCAAGGAGCACATGGAGAAGCTCACGATGGCGCAGAACCAAGTGATGAAGCAGCGAAGTCAAGTGCACACGTTGCAAGGCGAGATCAGAGCGCAAAAAGCACACACCGACACCCTACATGACCAGTTGACCGAGCAGCAGCACACCCACACAAAGGCGCTGGAAAAGGTGCGGCCATCGCGGCCATCGCGAAATACCATCGGGGGAAATTGAATGCACTCTAGGCCATGCAGTCGCTCGTGCGGCTCTGTGTCGTGGCGCCGACCGTAAACGTTCACCTGTCCGGCCAGATCCTGCCGTGTAAGACCGTCTTGCCCAAGGTACGACTCCCATCGCGCGCGCGTGTGTGGCGGTTGATGGAGCATGCCAGGATGCGATTCGCACGATCGTGCAGCGCGATATCTTGCCTGTTTTCTCGTCCATCTTTTTGCAAGCGGAAGAGGGAACGAGCCCGACGGGGTCATCCCTCGACTCGTGGCTGCAGTCGCTGCTCCAGGACATGCAAACGTCGATCGAAAAGCATCTCAAGAGCGTATTTCACGTGTAGAGAAGCAATCTTATCATGGCCACACCACGTTTTCGGTCGTCAGTGACGATCGTCACCGCAACGTGATCCAAAGCATGATTTGTTACGACGATTCGGTGGGCGACGCTGCTGTCGGCCGAGATGCATGGCGTCCATTTCCATGGCGACGTGAGCGGCGAGAAGTAGTGGCGGCGGCAGTGGTAGTCGCGCCAGCATCTTCTTCAACTGCCTGCCTCTGGGGATTCGCCTGAATTGGCGCAGGCAGCGGTAGGCTAAGGACGGCCACAACAGGGGCTGCAGGGGGGGTGCTGCTGCCGCTGGCGCTTTTGTGCCCTCGAGTTTTGCTCTGGTGTTGTTTGCCTTTGGGCCCTTCCTGACACCCTTTCTTGTTGTGCTGTTCAGCCGGCTTCTTCTCCTTTTGCGAGCATCGTGGCACTGCTTTCTCGTCCTGACGTGGTGTGTCGTTGGCCGATCGACGTCGAGGTGGCGACTGCTGTTGGCCATGATGCTGAGCGCTGTCCATGGAGGCCGGCTGGCTAGTTGGCGCCGCGGCATCTCGCGCGACTCTATCCTCGCGAGCAGACATCACGACGGCTCTTTTGCTCTTCTCGTGCTTTCGAGAGGTAGGCGCGGCGTCGTTTTCTTTGGCGGGTCCTCCTGCCATACTTGGTTCGTGGTCCAAAGTCGCTGGAGGCTCGCCACGGGCTGCACGGCCGCCTTCGACGTGAGTCGGCGCAATTGGAGACACAGCCGCACTGGGTGCCGGTCCTTCCGCACTGTTTCTTTGGTTTCCCCGCTGCTTCTTTGTTTTCGTTTGCACGGTGCCTTGCACGGCCGGGTCGAATGCACATACCGAGTCGCCAGGTGCAGCGCCGGCGTCTTCTTTCGACGCGGTGCCAGACAATGGAATCGCTGGAGGCGTGTCTGCGGGACTGGCGCCGTCGGCGGCACCCGTGTTGCGGCCGTTTTTGTTTCGCCCGATGATGGCCTTGGAAGGTTTGCCGCCGTCGCAAGTCTTGTTCGAACCTGCATTCGCCTTTGTGCCTGGTGCGGGCTGCGGCGGGACAGCCGTCAGCGCCGCAAAGCTGCCCGTCTCGAGCAGCACATTTTTGGCCCGGGCGAATTCACGCAGCACGCACTAGCACGAGTTGAGACGACGCAGCATACACCCTAGACACTCTACTTCTTGGCCTAGCGGAGTCAAGACAATGCCCAAATCCCGCGACGTTTCGAACGGGTCCTCGATGCTCATGCGCCACGTCTTGGCCGCGCTCGTCCACCGGTCGCGCTTGGTCTGGTCTCGTCCGCGAATCGACACCACGCGCGATAGCCACGGAAACGCCGTCACGTAGTCAAAGAAGAGCACGAGTAACTCGCCAACGTCCAGCTCGGCGTCCCGCCGCTCTTGACGCGGCGCAATCGTCCGGCACGCAGTCGAGTCGGCGCAGAACGAGACATCGACGCCATGCACGATCTAGAGTTGGTCGCACGCGTCAGCCACACCGACAACCGCGCGACACCACCTCGCGCGCCACGCCCAGTTGGCCACACAGCGCCGGATCTTGCAGGTTGGGCAAGATGCCAACGGTTTGCAGGAAATGGATGACCACGATCGCGTACGAGTACGAGCTGAGAGTGTTTTGCGACGCGTCGTTGACGCCCCTTGCTTTCGCCCACTTTTTCACCTGGCACGACGTTCGTGTGGATGGATTATTCTTACGACAATGTGGCCGCCGCCATACCGCCAACACCAACGGACTCACGCGGCGGTCATATTGGCCATACGCGCGAAGGAGACGCGTGTTCCGCGTAGCTAGGGTGTTGCCCATGCACAGATCGCAGTCGAGTTGGCTCTTGACGTGCGAGAACCTGCCGCATCACCCGTCAGCCCAAGGGATATGCAAACCAATCGACTTGATGATGGGGACGCGGGCATGGGCGAGCACGTTGTGGACCGTGCATCCTTCGCGCTGCGCAATTCATCACACCCGTGACGATCGCAAAGCCGAACGGGCACCAACCTGCAGCACGGCCGTCAGTCGATGGAGCTGTTTCGTGCGCTTCATGTTGTCCGCCATCGCGACCTTTAGCTCGTGCGCGGCGATCCGGACGTGGCTCGCCATGTCCGCCGGCGACTTGGCCGTTGGCTCGAGACGTTCGAGGACCTGCGTAAACTCGAGCAAAGCCCGCACAAAAAACTGCGCGCACGTTCTACAGCATGACGTTGCGTTAGGCGCATCTCACGATGTCGGCCCGACTTCTTTTTCGCTAATTTTTCGTCCGCTGGCGCGTTGCCGCAGGCCAGGACAAGTTGACCCAGCACAGCCGTGTGCTTGGCAAGGTCGGCCTTTACGCGGTCCAGCAAGTCGAGTCCCATTTCGTGGTTCGATCGGTTTTGCAGCGCCAACTCACTATGCGAATCGAATCCATATCGAACGCTCTTTCACACGGGAGCAGCGTACTGGGCATGCCGCGCTTTCCCGATGGCGGCGCTGTTCGAGAGAGAAAACACACTGGTCGAAGTCTTCCACGACAGGCACAGATCCATGTCGCACCCTTGCGTCCCTGTATCTCCCACGTCACTCTCGGCCGCGACCGACTCGACCGACGCGTACCCATGGTTGAGAGGGAGCTGCCGTAGAGCTCGATGCTGGCATCCCTCCACTCTTTGTTGCGTGTGATGGCATGTTCCAAACGTTTGACGATGGCCAAGCGATGTTGTTCGTCCTGGAGAGTGGTGACGTGCCGCGTGTGCTCAAGAGATTGTCGTACCGCTGGCGTGATGCGATGCGTCTCGAAGTACTCTTGGACGTCGCGGGTGATGGCCGTCGCATTGACGCGATCGCCGACGATCGTCCACCGCGGACGGTTGAGTTTGGCCTGGTCGTCGTGGACAGCGACTTGGAATCGCTGCAATTTACCCTTGCACTTCCTACACACGGATGAGGCGGTGCAACAGTCGACAAACCCTCACTCGAGCTTGCGGACAGCATGTTTCAATGGATTTGCGGACAAGAAGCCGTCAACGCTGCGGAGAAAGCACTCGACGTCGGTGATATTGTCGATGTCGGCTTTGCTCATGAGAATCTAGAGCAAGGATGAAGGAGACAAGTCGCCTGCGTGATTGTATACGGTGGGCGTACGTCGGTGTAAAGCTCCACAATATCGCCCAGGATATGCTTTAGCACGATTGTGGGCAGGAGCACCCACGCATCGGTCAAGATCTCGACAACGTCGCGAGTATGCACTTGGAGCATGTCCTGGAACCACATCAGTGAGATAATGGGGAGTAGGTCGTGCAGGTACAAGCTTACTCGGGAAGAATCTGCCGCACTCGACGCCCCGTTGGCGTGATTGTTGTACACAGTCTTCAGCGAGGCCACGACACGGGTGGCCTTCCGCGTGATGTCGACGTGGGCTTTGCTGGTGGGATGGATGGCATCACTCAAGTCCATGCATTGTTTCAAGATGCGGTGGCTTGCCGCAAAATCGTCATGAAGGAGCCAAGGGTGTTCGTCAGCCGCTGCGTCACCATCGCGGTGGCCGCCTTCCTCCATGTGCGGCAACAACGATTTGCGTCGAAATAAATCGTGCAAATTATTATCCACGTCGTTCATGGACGAATTTTTCCATAATACTCAAAAAACAAAAATATCAAATTTGGAGGCAATTCCCTCAAAAACACAATTCATCGTTTACGTCTGGGGTCGTTGCAAGGGGTAAGGGGGGGGGCAGGGTCGACGTGACGTTGACTGACCCGAGCGAAACCACGGGGGAGGGGGGTTCGGGGTTGTAACATGTCCTGGACTTACGTCGCCCCAAGATCGCATCCAGGATGCCACGTCATGCCGTTCAACCTCATGAACGGTTCGTTTTCTCCGTGGCAGGTGACGCGCTACATGCTATGGCCTCCTCCAGCCATGCTATACGCCACCACGTGTGGCGTTCGCTGTCGACGGAGTTTGCGTTTGGGGGCAGGGCGAGTCGTGTGTGCGTTGTTGTCGGCGAGTCGGGCGGCGACCATGGTCTGGACCATCGATCGCAACGCGGCGTTTTCGTCGACGACGTCCACCGCGTCTTCGACCGATGCTGCGTCCCCTACACGAATCCCGTCATCGTCGAGCGATGTAGGTGAAGGACGAGCGTACGAAAGGTATCGTCGCCGGGGGTCGTGGGAATCGCATCGGACGGACTGGCGTTGACCTTTGTCAATCGTTCGAGGAGGACTTCGAACGCGTGGATGTCGTCGCTCGTCGTCGACGGCGGCGGCGCGCTTGTCGACTCGACGGGCTGTCCGTCGTCACGTGCTGCAACGGGCGGCGGCGCGTCGTCGTCGTCTTCGTTCTGAATGCTCTCGTGGACCATCTCGATGGTCCCCCGCCGGCCCATCGACTGGTTGGCGATCGTCGCGTAGTGCTGCGTCAGGCTCAAGTACTCGTCGCCCTTGTCGTTGTTTTGGTTGCTGTTGTCCATGTCCTTTGCCACCTAGCCGACCACGGGCTAAAACAGGACGACACCACCGCCGCGCACACGACGACGTACCAAGTTGGCCAGCGCATGGAATTGCGTGATCAAGCGGTCGACGTGGTCGATGGATCGACTTGTGGACACCGCATGGCCCGACGACATGGCGCACAGCGCGAACGGAGCGTTCACGTCGCTGCCGTCAAGGCCGCCTACCGCCACGTACAGCATGCGATGGGCCTGGATGGCTTTGTCGGTGGGGTAAATCACAACTCGCTTTTCATGGGTCGACGTCGCTGTGGACCTGCGTGGACGTTTGACGCGCACGGGTGGATGGGACGTACCGCCAGTCGCAATCGGTCGAACACGGAGCCGTTGTCGAGCACGCCACAAACAGATCGACCGCGTCGTTGGAGCACGTCAATTTGAACGTGATGATGCCGTCGGGAATCGAGTTGACGTACACGTAATGGCGCACCTGCACAAGCGAATCGTCGTCGTCGGGGAACGAGTGCACCGGCGGCGGACAAAAGTACCTGGTTCGAATGCACAATGTCCGTGATCGACTCGCCGAGGACAAGGGGCGTCGGGTGGCAGCACGCCTCGCGCGTCGCCCGGTCCGTTCGAAAGATGGACGTCCGGCGCTTCGTTTTCCATCGAATCGACGCCGCGCTCGACGCGTCGGCGGCAGCTTCTGCGTTGGCAAGGCCATGCCGCGGCGACGACGCGGCCGCGTCGACTTGGACTGCATCAAACGCGTCTGTGAGCTGCGTGTGGATGTCGAGTTCGGCCGATTCAAACACACGCGCCCATCTACGCCCGACGGAATTGGTTTCGTCGATGCCGCAACGACAACGACGACACCTGGACGTGATGTTTTGATCCAAGCGGGGCGACAGGCAAACGTCCCCAGCGGCTATCACGCCGTCGTCTGTAAACGCCGAGTCGTCGTAAGTCGTCACGTGCGTCATGGCATCGTCGTCTTCCTCGTCGGACGCATCCTGCGGAGTCCACTGCGGCGCGTGAAGACGAGATCGCGCCTTGTACAGGTCCTGGGCCGCATCGGTGAGCAATATTTCAATGAAGCTTGGCAAGAGAACCCACGTGGACGTTTAGCTGCACAGGATAGCTAAAGAGAAACTCTCGCCGTTTGATGGCTTCCGTCGAAGTGGCGACGATGGGCGCTACTTCCGGCTGCTTGCCCGGCGCTGCCATCATGTCGGGCCGCTGCGCACGGGCCTTGTGTCGCTGCGCGTCGACGATGTTTGTGTGTTCGATTGCGTTGGTCCCCGTGGCTCTGGTTTCGGTCGAAGGAGTACTCTCTGCGTCGCTCTTGGGACGATGTTGGGATGCATCATCCCGCGAGATCATCGTCGGTTCGACGGTGTCGACTCCGTTGATATCTGTCTCACCCACATCGCCATCGTCGTCTTCTTCATCGGACGACTCGCCGTCACTCGTGCCCCCGTCTTCATCTGACACACAATTCATTTCATGACGTTAAAACGCATCATCCACCATGAGTACCGTCCGACTCGATGGACTCTAGCTCGGTCGTAGCCACGTCGGAGCGGCCGCCGTGATGGGACGGGTTGGCCGAGCTGCTGGTTGCGGCATGGGGCTGCACCTCGTGCTTCTACGAGATCGCGCGATGGGATGAGCTGCGCCTTTGGCACGACGAAAGGTGTACCTCCACGATCGAATACACTCGAGTGAGCTGAACCGGGGCGGCGCACGCTTTGCCCAACCCAAGACAAGTTTGCAACGGCGACGTCAAGCAGTCCAACATGGACGGTGGTAGCGGCAGCACGATGGCGTCCAGGAATGGATCGACGACGGCTGCAACTTGGATCAAGCTGTCCAGTTCCAAGTTGTGCGGGATATTGTCGACGCGACTCGACGGACTCGAGTTGCCGGGTGTGGCGAGCGGCGAACGGTACGAGTCTGTGCATGGACCAGGAATGCTTCGACCGGTTTGGACGGAAGCGCTTCCTCGGTCCGATGCGTGCAGGTCGGTCAGAGCGAATTGCAGCACGTGCATCGACTCTTGACGCTCCGCTTGAAGGGATGCCGCCATGTTCCGACGGCTCCCAGTCGGAACGCGTGGCGAACTATCTGTGGACGATGCCGCTTGGCATGGCAACGGCGTTGCCTGGGTGGACGTGAGTGCGCGGCGAATTTATGGCGTTCTTACTGATTGTGGTGCGTGTGTGTGCAAGTCGTCGGCGGGAATATACGCGTCGACGTCAACGAGCTGCACGTCGTCGTCGTGATCGCTGTCGACGCGAGTCGAGTCTGGGTGGAAGCCGCCTACGGACGGTGCCTCTGCCACACCAGACGTGACGACATCGTCCGATTTGTCCAAGTGTGGCGAGATGACCTCGCCAACGGGGGCGACGTCGCAGGACAACACTTGCGCTCCGACGCTGCCATCATCCTGGCTATCGGCGACTGCTCCCGCCAAATCCATGCTCTTGACTGTATCCATCGTTGGCACGAACGGGTCGTCGCGGCTTGTCAAAGTACGCGACGTGCCGATGGAAACGTGGTTGGAAAACGACGTGCTGCCGGTACGACGCGACTCCACCCCTGGCGCGGCGACGTCAAGGGCTCGCCCGTCGGTAGTGGCCTAGTTCACATGGACGTCACGGTCTGACACGGCGATTTGCCAAGTCACCTGCCAAGCTCGGTGGACGTGGGCCGGCGACCCATCGACTTCCACCGATTCAATCGACGACACGTTGTCGCGCGGAGCTCGACGACGCACGGGCTGTGCTGTGCGAGAGCCTGTCGACATCGTTTTGAAAGGCGCGGTGTCTGGGAATTGCACGTAAAGCGTAGAAAAGGTCTTCGCGCCGACGATCGTTGGTTTGGTTTCGAGCGACCGGGGTCGCTCGGCGATGTTGTCGACAGATCGTCGTGGTACTGGGGATGTCGCCGTAGTAGTGGCCACGGTTGTATCAATCAGCTCTCGCAAGAGCGCGGCGTCCAGCGCATGCGAATTCGTTGGCAGCACTCCATCTGCACACACACGCACACCTTTATCGCCATGATCGCCGCCGTCGCACGGGTACCTGGAATGTATGGACCTGGCGGAACGTCGTGCTTGGAGGGTTTTGCATCGTGCTGCTCCGCACGCTCGCGCAGCGCTGGGTGGCCCACATGCACAGCGAGATGCTCCATTCGCAGGGCCGAGTCGACAGCATCTGGACCCGCCACGACCGTGTGTTTCCAGTGGAACGTGCCAGTCGAGTGGCGGTGCCAGCTTTGGCTCGAGCCGCCGTTCAATTTCCCCACGTCGAGCACCCCCGCCGGTGGCTCTTGAAACATGTAGTTTTGCATGAACGCGACGACGTTGCCTGTTTTGCGGTAAAGCAACCAAAGACCGCTCGCGGGGGAATACCTCGATATGCGTCGTCGAGTTCGAGCTTGTACCCCCAGCTAAAGTCGAGGATATCGGGGAAAGGCAAGTACTTGTGTGCCTTGAGCGCCACGACGTAGAGCAGCGAGAACATGTCGAGGTAGCACACGGCGCCGTCGCGTTCGTGGTCTTGGTATCTTTCGGACGATTGAGTGCGCTCCCGTCAATGAGGGATCGTTGGTACCTGTTGACCAGTCCTTGAATGTGCTCTGCGACGTCGCACGCGTCGTCCACCGGCGGCCACAAGGCCAGCATGCCAAGAATGATCGTGCCAAACGTGTGGTGGTCCACACACCCGTCTCGACGCCGGTCGTAGTAGATGAAGCACTCCAAGAGCGTCCGCAACTTTGTCAACTCGTCGGCCATGGACGCCATAGTACGTGGCCCAAACAGATCGCGTTCCGACCTTGCAAACGCCACGGACGTGGCTTCCCATTCAGAGATCCACTCAACCAAGAACGCGTGCATTTCAACGTTCCCACGAATGGCTTTCGCGTCGGATGCGTCCAGTACGTTGGCGACAAATTTGGGCGGGACCTAACGTCGCGCATGAGGGCAAGCAAGTGTCGAACACGGCCGAGCGTACATGCGGATAGACGAGGAGATGTTGGCAGCACATGCGGCATGCATCCGTTGAGACCATTTCCCAACACGCGTGCTTCTCTCCGTGGGCAACGTCGACGCCGTACGTGTGGTGGGCCCCCGGCATGGGGTCGCCGAGAGTGACGAGCCCATGGGCTTGTAGCCAGTAGTACCCGTCCACGTACAGGTGCATGAGCCACGGCGGGACCGCCGGGGTGGCGTGAAAGATGTCGCAACACTGTCCAAATGCACGGATAGCGTCGTAGGAAGGCGAGTACACGGCCACCGAGATAAAAAACCACTCGAGTTTGTGCTCGACGACGGCTGGCATGCCATACCTAGACACAAAAGAACGATGGTCAACTTGCAAGAGGTTTGTGGCGAGCGCACTTTGGTTTGAACAAGGCGTAGGTAAGCGGGCCAAGCGAGATGTTGTGCCAGGACTGCTGGTGTTCCTTTTCGAGCTGAGCGGACTTGTACACGTGATGGATGGTCGACAGGACAGATCGCACGGGAAGCATCGAGTCTGGAGCCACAACATGGAGCCGCTTGCGGCACGTGGGGCATCTCTACACCGAGAAACGTGAGTGGTTGTGCATTCGCGCGTTGCGAGTGTACCGGACGACGAACCGGGTCATCTCGATCGACGGCCTTGACAGCCACACACCGTTTGCTTATTCCCAAGACAATTACAAGGACAAGGGTACCTGCTGGGATGGAAGCACCAGCTCTCCAGTGCACCAGCACGAGTCGTCTCGCCAGAAACGTTGGAGTTCTCGCGGCAAGAAGATGGCTCGTTTCAAGGTGGTCGGGACGTCAACGCGGGGATCCACCGTATGCGACGGCACGGACGCCACCGGCCGACACGGCTGTGGCGCCGTCCGAGCGCTGGCGACGCTGACGGAAGCCACGGACTTTTCGCCAAGCGAATTGAACGACACAAGACGTTTTGTTTGGCCCATGGCGTCGTATCGGCGGTGGACGGCGGCGGCCGACGACGTCGATGGTGCCGTGTTGCACCACGTCAACGCATCCACGGCCTGAGCCCACGTCAGCTTGGACGCCGGCAGCAAGTGATTCGAGCTCAGGAACTGCGCCAACCGCTTCCCCGAGAACGCCGCAGTCGTTGCTGGTGACAGCGCGCGCCAAATCTTGTACACTCGTCGCAGATCCGTCGCGGAAAGCAAGATCTGTGGAGCATGGTGACCGCGTGCAACAAGACGTTGTGCGGCTTACAGCGTGTTCGTCGTCGAACTGGTGCTCCGAGTGCGTGCTCGCCAAGAATTCCCGAATGGCTTCGGCCATCACATCGTGGTCCTACCCCAGACAGTCGCCACCCATCGAGTCGTCCGATCGGGAGGCGCGTGCGTACCGACGGGCTTTGGGTTGCAGGGTATGCCAGGGAGAGGCTGTCGGGGCACGCCTCCGGCAAGGACTTATCGCGATCATGTATTGCGATGTGGCACTCGATGTGCTGGAGGCGGGACTCGTTGGCCATCGCTGTCTCTGCCGTGGCCCCGTGGGTTTCAGTCGGCAACGTGATCGGGTGCAGGTGGCGGGCCGGCTTCTCGCCAAACGTTGCCGCGCGCAGGCTCGAGACGTATTTGACCCGGCAGAGCTCGTTTGGCAGCGTCACGATTAGCGACTCGTCGTGGACAAATGCATCCAACACCGGGCCGTGGAATTCAAAGTACCTGGTCGACGATGATGGACGTCGTCAAGTCGACCTGCTTACCGCCGTTCATGCAGGACCTGGTGGACGCCATCCAATGCCCACACAATCACGTGGCCGTCAAACGATGCCGAGGCGAACGAGCAGTGCATCACAATGTTGGACGGAGGGTTGAGCTGGCCCGGGTGCGGCACCGACCGAATGCATGACACGCGTCGTTGATGCGGGTCGGCCGCTGCCAACAACGTCCAGTTCATGTCCCATACCTAGTACCACGACAAGTGAAGGGGACGAAGCACACGCATGAACGAACCCGTGCGCCTTGGATGTGGGAATCCACTTGGTGAATGGCAATGCTGCCGTTCTCAAATCCGCACACGAACAAGTGAATGTGGTCGTCTTGCTCGAGGAGGCACGTGGCCGTGACAGCGCCGTTGGCCCGACTCGGCACGGCATATTGCGACAGCAACGGAGGGGCCGCATCGGCCATGGGGTTGACACTCCACACTTTAATGAGGCCGTTGCTCGCGATGGAGACGAGAGCATGGTGGTTTTCACCGATGGAAAACGGTAACAGACTCTGAATTGTCGCGCTATGACCCCTCCATGTCACCGTGGCTTCCGCGACGACGGCGCTGCAATCGTGACGCCATTGAGTTTCAGTGACCACCGCCGCGTCGCAGTACCTTTGGAACGACGGCAGACGCCATGCCAACACAAATCCATCGCCCGACGCCGCAAAAATACACGTTGTACCTATCGAGAGTCGAATCAAGTCGTGCCTCGAATGGTTCGTCGCACCCGCTTCGGCGTCGTTTGTGCGCGGCAGCGGCGCCAGCGCTTTGGACGACCGAAGCTTCCCGCCCCACATCGACTCGTGGGCCAGGGGCTTGCGCGCTTTCCATACTGGAATGTTCATCACGACGATTGAGGTCACGCTTGTGGTAAACGTTGGATCTTGCGCGCTTCCCACGAATTTCAAATTGTCGTACACGTGGACGGCACCAGTGGACCAGCCCAGGATGATGTAGTGCTCGTGCACAATCAAGGCCGATATAGAAGCAGAGGGCAGGCATGGTGTCACGGTCTACGATGGTTTGCACAACGATGTATGGTCTGAATGAGACTAGAGTACCTGGCTCGACGTCGCAGATGGAAGCGAGAGCACCGTCACGGTGTTATCGCTGGCCAAGGCCGCTGCAATCGGCGGCGAAATCGGCTGGCTGATGGCGGTGTGCACAAATGTCAAGGGAGAATAGTGCGCGTTCTGCTGCAGCGCTAGCACCGATTCGGCTAGCGTTTGAATCTTGAGCACATGCACAATGTCTCGTGCTGCAACCAAAAGCAAGTGCTCGGTGAAATGGCCCATCTCGACCGCCACAGGCACACCTAATATGTGTCCCGCATCCGTTTGGTTCACGCAAGTGAGCGACAGCAACGTACAAAACACACGCGGCGCCTTGCCCTTGCCGCCGACACGTGCGACGGGGTCAAACTCGCCCAGCTTGTCAAACTGCACGTCGATGTCGCCTACAACGAAATCGCGCTTTGAACAAACCACGTACTCTAGAACGGCGGGCACCTTCGCCGTGTAGCACGGTCCGAAATCGGTGCTGTTGCACGCACGCGTCCTTTCCAGTGGTGAAGATATCCATCTCCATCTCGGTCGAATTGTCGTTGTCGATTTTGGGCTGGGGAAGGATGCTCGTTAACCCGCCCACGTGCAAGCATTCGCCACGAAGGCATTTGTACGGTTTGCCGCCGGGGCCAATTTGGTACCTAACGCCGACAGCCACGGGTACTTCACGAGGTATTGTTGGAAGGAGGGTATCATCGTACAGCCGGGAGAGAGAATATCCTACGTTCCAAATGTTGAGCGAGCCGTTCCAGTGGCCCGAGAACAGCCACTGGGCACACTTGGATCTGCACACGTGCATCAAGACAAAGTGAACTTTGTCGGATGGCGTACAGTTGGAGGGCGGTGAGTCGCTGGGCATTGTCGAAACCATTTTGAACCTTGCGAGCGTGCAGGTGAAGGACGCGTTACGACGACGGATTTCGCTTACTTTGATGATTTGCCTGGTGCCTCGGTCCCATGCGACCAAAGAGGTCAGTTGCTGGTCGCGATCGAGGGCGGAATCTTCCGTGGGCTTTGGAATGACGACGCCAAACACACGATTCGGGCTTGCAGTGAACATAGTCACCTGGCACCGTCGTAATCCACAGAGGCACATGCGTCGTACGTACTTGGTGCTTGGATGGGGCCAGTGAAGGCCGGGGCTGCACGTCGATTGGCGAGAGCGAGTCCTTGTCGGTTGCAGTGGACTTTCGTGCGAGCCCCCACACTTCGATCACATAGACAAACGCCTGTTTGTTGTTCACGACAGGGAATTCGCTGCAAACGAGCAGATCACTCTTTTCATCTATGCACACCTGTCTCAGTCGTCACATCACTGCATCGTCGCATCACCTTCAAGCGCTGCGCATTGTATCAAATTGGCTCCCCCTCCGCGGAACAGGTATAGCTTGTCCAACGTCGCAGGCTCCAATATTTCAATGCCACAAACATCCTGCACACACATGTCCAGCACACAACGCATGGTTGCACACTTACGTCGCGCAGCATGGTGTACACGCAGACAAAGACATCGGTCGCGCGGGAGAACATCATTTGCATCTTCACCGCGTTTGGTGCAAATTGAGCCACGTCGTCTTGAAACAGTCTTCTGCGTTTGATCTCACGCTTCAACGAGTACAACCGAACACTATGCTCCGTCATAATGGGATTTGGAATCAATGGATTTTTCGATGGGCTCGGTGGCATGTCGTAGCTGGTATATGTCAAGATGTGATGGCGTACAGTGTCGTAGCAAACCGCTCGAACTGGAATCCCAGGACAGCATAACAGTTCATGCCGATGCTGGAGCGTATCGTGCATGTTGGAAGCATAGCGTTTTGGCATCCTGTGCACTTCATGGGGCATGGAGTTTGCGTTGGCCCGAGTTCGTCTATCGGGCGGTTTCACCGTTTCGAGTTGTGTAACCGACCGTGGCAGTTCACAACGTTCAGTATTGACAATGGCCGGTTGGGCTCTGGATAAATGGATTGTATAGTATTACTAAATGTGGTCAATACTTCAGCACCCGATACAGTATGCGATTTTCCAAAATCAATGCAGAGTTTTTCGAATTTTCTGAAAGATTATTACTTTCTGATGAATGTTTCATGGAGTATTTTGTAGGGGGCAATTGGGATCGGGCATCACTCTTCATTGCTTATCTCGCCCATTTGAGACTCAATTTTCACACAAGAAGATAAAAAAACTGCAAATCTTGCTTGAAAAGTCCTTCTATGTACTGTCAGTTTTTTTAAGTCAGGAGGACTTTTAAAATTGAGACCAAAAATAACAATCACGAAAAATGACTTCAGCCAGGGTAAGGTTTACTCAGCACGACATTTCATTGGTTACTGAAATTGAAAATTGCCAAAAAATTACGTTTTTGAAGAAAAACCAATTACTCAATAAAAAACCTATTCACTTTCAGAAGAGGCCTCAAGCAGTTTTCCATCAGCTTCTTCCGATGGTTCCGCTTCAAGGGCCAGGATCTCGTTTTCTGCCGCCTCCATGTATGCATCTTCAAACGAACAACACTTGTCGTGCGCAGACACCCAATGCGACGAGGTCACTTCAGCGAAGTGAGTCTTCAGGCGCCGCTCGAGGTCTTCCATGTCCGACGACGGCCTACACGCAATTTTGTTCTTCACAATGCCCCAAATAACCTCGATAGGCTGGAGCACTGGATGGTAAGGAGGTGTGAACAACAAAGTATAACCATGTGATGTAGCAATGACCTGAGATGCATATGACGGACGCTCCCGCTTGGCAACGACATTGCTCACTGTAGACTTCGCGAATCCGAGGCACTTGGACACGCTGTCTCGAACGCGGGCTTTCCAGGAAGGTTCATTGCCTTGTGTTCCACGAAGTATTGATGACACTTAACTACAAGCCACGTTTCTGCTGGTGATAACACGTGTCTTTTTTCCATTGCGTTGGTTCCAGGCATGCTAAATTGAAGCTGAAGAGTGCTAAATGTAGAGAAAAGCAGAGGCTATCTGCCAGTGATTTGGTCTAGCCAATAGCGTTTGCCATCATATTTATATTACACACAGAATATCTCGTGCCCGCTCCCAATTGGCCCCTACAATAGAGAGTTTTAGCAAGTCCGAAAATTCACCAGTTTACAGACTTTGAACTTCGTTCGATTTCGTTGAAGTCTGAAGCGCGAAGTCTGATGAATTCCAGTTTAGCAAGTCTGTAGAATGCATTGGTGTTCAAACCAGCACCATTGTTCAAAATGCAACCGCAGCACCACTGCCTCATCCACCGTTCTCGTGTGCATCTCCGACTCAAGCTTCGCCTGCTTCGCCGTAGTGCAAGACAAGCCTACCTAACCATTCCTAATGCGAGATTCACGTTGGACACTTTCACCGAAGCCGACTGCGTTGAGAAGTTTCGTTTTACGAAAGCAACACTGCGAACACTGGCAAATTCTCTGCGGATCCCTTCTCGAGACCTGTATTAACTTTCCCATCTCTAACAAGAGACGCTCAAGTTGCTCGTTTCGCTTAGTGTTCTCAGCCACTTGTGCCAAATGGAGCTTTTGTTCCTCTCTTTCAAACTCTACTATACAAACGATCGTCAGAATGCTTTTTCTTCTCAAATTCGAGAAGTTCCTGTGTCACCGCATCTTGTTCTTCTCTTTTGGTGGCCACTGAACTCACAGACCGTTGACGCTTGACTACCTGCTGCTCTGCTTCAAGGCACAGTTGGGACCCTGTGGACTCCAGAGAGTCGCGCCGTCTTTGCTCCTTGTCTTTCTTCGACTTCTTCAATTCTTCGGCCGCCGCTCGCCGGTCCACAAGGTCCTGCAATAGTTGAACTTGTTCGTTGACATCCTCTTCGCTGCAGGTGCCCCACAATCATTGCGCCATGTCAGTCGACTTGAACGCCTCCACCATCGACTCGTAATGGTCTCGTGCAGACCGGTACGGGATCTCGCATTCGAAAAGTGTGGCCAGGCTGGCTGCGATGACTTTCCATCTTGCAATGAGTGTGCCGTACTCGCCGTCGTAGAGCTCGACGCGCACAACCTCGCAAAGCAAGGCTAGGCCCATGTCCGTGCTCCAAGCAAGCTGCTTGTGCATGGCTTTGCCCATCGTCAATCAATTTGTTCAGTGGTAGGTTGCCGAGGCGTGCAACCTGTCACGGCACAATTTGATTGGCTTTGGGCACGAGTCCGCACTCTGCAGACTTCAGGGTGAAAAGTATTAGCACAGGTCGCAGTTGAGTGATCGAGATGGCAAATGTAAAAGTGATTCAAGCTTAGGTGGACCGACCCCAGCACCAAATTCAGGTTGAATCTGGTCTGCACATCCAGCTGCTACGTGTCTATGTGCTGGGATACTTTGAGACCGTGAACAGTGGCATTTTGACCCAGCAACCAGACCGCCAGACCGTGGCTGTGCTAACGAAAATTCTGTAGACTTCTCCACTTTTCGGACTTGGTTTCGGTCCAAGTCTGCAGTCTTCGAAATTCGAAACGAAGTTTAGTCTGAAATCTGAGGAAACCAGACTTGCTAAAACGTTAGTATCAGAAGAATGCTGACTATGTACAACAGTTTCTAGAAACAAATTGTGTGGAGTAAGTAGGAAATAGAATTCGAAATATCAACAGGATGATCTTACCTGCTCGTCTACCACTTCGGAACCATGGAGCCGCGAACAACTTTGAACGACAAGCACGACTTGTATCAAGAACACGTTCGCAATCCTAACGCACCATATACCGATCTGGCTCAATGACTACAAACCAATTCACAATGAGCTCCGTTTTCACCATATTGACCATTTGTGAGGCCATCAAATTGTATGACACAAGAAATCTATGAGGCGGCAGCAAACATCAAACACGTGAACTATTACACCGTTAACCTACCCGAAGCCGAAACAAAATCTCGGGAATGGGTACTTTGATGTGAAGACTTTGGTGCCTGCATCACCAGAGAGCTTATTCGGAAGCAGCGCTCGGAATCCCGAAAACTAAAACTTGACGTTTTAGCGTCACGACAAAACTCGAACTCAACCGAGTAGCATCAGGAATTTTAATGAACATTCGGACTCACCAGAATAATTCAACATATGGTGAGGTTGCCACCTAACTGCGTGAAGCTATTCAGTCCATGCCCGGCGCCGACAATGCCAGACGAGACTTGTGATAATCTATTGGCTGTGAGTGTTTATTTGATAAAGAACAATAACGCTTGAGAAATAATGTACATCAGGTGATTCCAAGAAAGTAGTATGTAAGAGGTATTCTTTGTTCGTCGTTGCACTGTCTGAACGCATGCACATACACACTATACATATTTAGGATTCAATACCCAGGCCAAAGGTACAGCGAAAGGCAATTTTGATTCCAGGGGAAACAATGCAAGACAACAAATTCGTTATACAGTTTAACCATTTACAAGTTTTCTAGTCCTCAAAACGAATCATGTGCAAGCAATTACGTTAGTACTTTAACCTTTTATATTATTCAGGTGCATTGAGTCCTATATTGTTTAACCAAATACGCGAATTTAGGTAGAGGATATTTGGAGTTATGCAATGTGCTTGTACAATCATCCTTCGATATAAGTCAGGTATAATAAAAGTGGAAGATTCCACATTTAACACAACACGTTTACTACACATTAAAGGGCCGAACTTTTTCCACTTTTAAGAAAGTTCGCGGCCTGCTTGTGGACTGCTTGTGGACTGCTGTGCGGACGATCCCATTGCTGGTTGCGCGAATTCAGATTGCCCAAGTCCAAGGCCAAGCACTCTTGGCAACCGTCCTACGCGCGCAAGTACGCCCTGGATATCACATCCCAGGACGGCCTCGTTGTCAAGAGTGCCCGCTGCAAGTTCTGTTTCTACTTTGGCCGCTGTGTCGCCACTGAGGCCGGCGGGATCAAGCGCAAGCGCGGCCCGCGGACGATCAACCAGTTCTTTGGCGAACAGTTCCGTAGCGACGTCATCACGAAGCCTCAGCCTGGCGAGAAATGGGCCGAGTACAGTGCCCAGTCCTCCGTGCGTCAGGTCTCGTTCATCGACATGGCGACTCCTCGCGCGAACACCATGCACAACTACATCGACGTGGACAGCGACGAAATCAACCTGGTCATCTCGGACTCGATCGTCAAGGTCATCATCGGCGAGATGATGTTCCGCCCCGAGGACGAGCTTGCGGTCTTGGACGCGGACGGCGACGACGGGGAAGAGCTCACGGGCATCGACGCTCGCAACCGGAAGATCGCCAAGCTGCGGCGCAGTGCGCTGTCGCTTTTCACCGAGAACGAGGATGGCGTCGGTTACACGGTCAGGATCCCGGCTGTGACGCTCTTCAACCTGGCCATCAAGCACGTGTCGGTCAGCTTGTCGTTCCGACAGGTCGCCAGGGTAATCGAGGACACAAAGAACACGTGCATGCTCGGCAAGCTGGGCGGCATCAACGACACGCTGGTCGGCCGGTACGTCCATGTGATTGTCGGTCACTCGCTGCAGGCGCTTGACACAATCATCGCCTACGACGATGTCTGGGCACTGGTGTTGTCGTTCGACGGCAGCACGCACCGCGGTACGTGCTTCAAGGATATTTGCGTGCGTGTCGGTGTGATGGGTGTCCTCTACAACTTGCATTTGATCGCGATGCCGCATTTCGATCGTCGCACCGCCCAAAACCAGGAGACCAAGATCGACAAGCTTCTCAACGCTCTGTTCGTGGGGTGGATTCGGAAGCTGATCGGCGTCACGACGGATCGGGAGAAGACGAACATGGGGCACCGAAACGGCGTCCAGGTGCGCATGGTGAGGTACGCCCAGTACAGAGTAAGTTAGAAGTCGTCGAAGGGGGTTTCTAGTTGACATCTTCGCAATGTCGTCCAAGTGTGGTGCGTGCGCTCCACACCAGCTCAACCTGCAAGTTCACTTGTATGTCGATAAGATCGACTGTGGCGCGTGGGTGAAGAAGACTTACGAGGTGACTGTGTACCTTCGCCGGCAGTCGAACCTGATCACGGAAATGGGCGTGACAAGCCCGAAGAAGACTAACCGGTGGATCGCGCTCGGCTCTGTGCTCAAGTTCGACATTGCTCACGAACCGAGAATCACAACCTTCTTCGCCGAGCGCGCCGCCGAGGGCAACATGGCTCAGCCGCCTGTGCTGACGTCGACCTGGTGGATCCTCGTGCATGCTCTTTCCCCCGCCATTGAGTTGATCACTGAGACTTTCGTCAAGCTCCAGCAGCGCGATTTGGTACTCTGCCAGCAACGGAAGCTGTTTGTCGTTCTCGCCGACGAAATTGCCGACTTGTTCAAGGTGTGCCGCATTGCCGACTGCGAGGGCGACTTCGACGACCTGCCTGTCAACACCTACGTACTGCGAAACCAGTCAATCGTGCTCATCGCCTCGCTTCGCGACTACGTCGAAGACCTCGGGTCGCACGCTCGAGTGCACTGGGAGAAGCTCGACAAGATCGAGCAATCACAAGTCTTCAGGACGATCGGACTGTTCGCCATCGGCATCACGGACGGCATCCGCCAAGTGGAAGCTGAGCGCGACCCAATGAACAACCCGTCCATAGAGCTCGCGCCACCCATCATGCCGCACGACCTCGTCAAGACGAGGCCCGCGACATTTATCTCGGAGGCGCTAGAGCCGCGGAAGCCACAGCTCGAGGCGACGTCCTGGACAGTCGATCAGATTAACACCGCCGAGACGGACCACCGCGATTTGATCAAGGCGTACAACATTGAGCCAGCGACGAAGGCGATAATTGACAAGCACGACCATCTCAAGTCATTCCACGACGCGTGGGACGAGGTCGCCGGGTGTGGTATCAAGTACCTCCAGCTGCGCCGCCTTTGCGCCGGTCTTGCGACCGTCTTCCACAACTCGACGTCGGTCGAGTCCGACTTTTCGATACTGAAGTGGGAAATGGACGAGTTCCGCACATCCATGCTCGACCTGTCGCTGGAAGGTATCTTCCAGACCAAGCGGTTTGAGCTTCTGGACTCGATCATGATGTCCCTTGAGCAATAAATTGCAAACCCGAAAGTCTAAACCCCTTCCACCTCCAACAGTCGATGGTCTTCCACTTTAAGCTAAAAGTGTTAAATGTGGAATCATCCACTTTTTATGAGGCCTGAAATAATCCGACTGACATTTTAGTGGAGAAACGTCGCGAACTCAACTCGGTGGCAAAACTTTGGCAGTATGTTGATGTTCGGGTTCTTGTGGACAGTGAGTTGGAGAACCGCCATGCAGTGATTCTGGTGCAAAAGAAAATCGTGCGCCGTTGTTCGGTTTGTGAAATTCCTCAACAGAGCGGAGTCGATGCTGACTCCAATACAATTGGTGTTTGTTGCCCCACTGCTTAATGGGAAGGCATTTCAACCCTCACCAGTAAGAAAATTTTTATTTGCAGGATGCGCCACAAAAAGCTGAAGCACGTTGAACAGGAGCTAAATTGATAGTCGTTTTTTGTGTCCGACGACAAAATTTTGCGAATGCTTCAGATTCAAATGTTTGACTTGAGTTGGTGGGACATTGTTAAAGTGATCAAGCTTACGAGTGAGCACTACTTGCCTTTGACTGTACATAATCCAGATGGCCTATTCTTGCTTCAACCTCACACGATAATATATCTGCATTGTCGCGGAACGCAACCAACATGTGCAACACAGCATACTCTAGTGGCTGAGATCTTATAGACGCAACATGGTCACAAATAGCGTACAGTAGGCGCAAGCGAGCTTACTGCATTGCAGGATCCAACGGACGCTAAACAACTAATGGATTGGACTCGGATAGGTAGAGGCTGTTGCGATGTAATACAAATTGTTTTATATTGACCTATTTTGAGGTAAGCACATGATTTATTCAAAACTTGAAGTATACGACGAATAACATTATACTGTATCAAGCAGGCTTAGTTACAGATTTTGCATTCCATCGACAATCTCGAAGATCTCTTTCACTTCTGCCAAGCTAAATGCTGACTCAATGCTACACAATAAATTGGGCATTTCCACCAGCAGGTTCACACACTGCTTAAATTCCAGTCTCTCAGCCAGAGCATTGCCGGCTACTAGGGCATCCGGGTCACATGTTGGACGCAGCAGTACTTGGCCACGTTTGGTCATCTTGTCCTTTCTTTGATGCGGTATCATGTAGCTGTATTCACCGACGGACTCTAAAACCTCCTCCATCACTTTCTGGAGTGACACGAAGGTCTTGTCCAACACATGGCAATCCAACTCTTCGATTGCAAGATGCACAGCAGCAATAGGTCGTCAATGGCTCGAGTAAGGGTTCTATGCTGGAGTGACAATTGAGTTGAAGAATACAAGGTCCAACACGTTGAGGTCAGGGCTTTGGGTAGACTGGTTTGCAAGTTGAATATTCCAACCACTACATGTGCCAATCTTGAGTACCTCTGCGTCAATGCCGACAAGAGGCTTGGTGTTGTCTTGTTGAATGCACACTGTGTTAGATCGACAACCGTCTTGATTCAGAATGACCATTCGATGTGATAGCGACGGTAGAATCCTTGGTGACGTTTAAGGGTGTTGTCCAATCATGACCCTTTTTTGAGACTACAAGAGGAAAAGGTCCAGGAGACACTTGAGGGGTTGATGGAAAAATCAATTGTGATGTTAAATTTCCATATTGGCTGCCCAGAGTTTCTATTCTTCGTTCTGTCAAGGGTCGCAGCGTTACGGGCAAGATAACTGCGTGCTATTCCTGGCTAGATAACAGTATACCGTTTCTGGCAAGATAACCAACTTCCGTAACTTCCCTATCAAGCATTCACTCTTATCGATGTACGTGCGCAAGTCATGTAGCGCATGGTACAGGGTTCGATCACCGGTAAAGGCATGTGTTGTTGGGATGCACAATATATAAGTCAAGTTCCCAAAATATTGGGATCGACGATATATTTGCTAAGTTATCAAGCAACACAACACGAGTAAGAATGCATGCAATACACTTATGCTAGCCAGTCCTACCTGAGTACTTCTCATACTCCCACTCAATTCGTGGTTCCATATGTGATCCCCAACTTGGATCGCAGCCTCTCGAATTGCTCGCGTGGTATGGCCTTGGTGAGGATATCAGCGATCATCATCTTGGTGGGACAGTACTGGATCTTGACCAAGTCCTTCTCCACATGGTCCCGCACAAAATGGTACTTGGTGCTGATGTGCTTGGTTCTCTCATGTTGGCCTGGGTTCTTCGCGATCGCAATTGCGCTTTGGTTGTCGCAGTGCACGACAATTCTTCCTTGAGGGTATCCAACTTCTTCAAGGAGCTCGGAGTACCAAATCAACTCCTTCACC